TGCGAGGGCCCCCCCCCCCCCCATTACAAGGGTCTTTCGGTAAGGAGTGCAGCAAGGCAAAGAAAAGTATCAAGGCAGATATAAGACACAAATGAATGCTGCACGCTCATCATTAATATGTCAATAAATATACATTTTTAATGCAAGCCGTACCTGAGTTTAACGTGCTATCGGCCTATTGCAGTGGTTCTCAACCTTTCTAGGGCCGGGACCCCTTGGTAACATTTGCCAAGTTGTGGTGACCCCCAACTTACTGATTGGACTCCAGAATTAGTAAGGCGCTGGACTTGGGACTAAAGATAGAAGCACACTCACAAGAATACAAGCCCTCTCCAGCCCCTGCTACCTGCTTGCCTGCTCGGTCTCCATGCAGCTTTCTCAGCCCCAGCACTGCTTAGACGCCCGCCTCCTGCAGAGCTCACATTGTATGGGAGGCAGGAGGACAGCAGCGGCTGTGAATAGAAAAGCCCCGCTGTATACACTCCACGGCCACTAGATGTCGCTGCAGCGGCCAGGGAGTGTGTATAGCGGCACTTTTATATTCACAGCCTCTGCTGTCCTCTCGCTGACTGACACTGCTGTGCTAGGAGGCGGCTGAGGAGCCTTTCACCTAGCGCAGCAGAAGTGGATGCTGCGACCCCCTCAACAGTGAGTTGCGACCCACAGGATGAGAACCGCTGGCCTATTGTAATCCGCTCTATAGCAGAGCTCAGAATGAGAGAGGGAAAAGCAGCATAAGAAGCCAGTCAGTTCATGTGCTGACAGAGAGATGAGCTCATCAGTCTGCTGCTTCTCATGTCACCTTCCAATCACAGAGTTGGGGAGGGACAAGATCTGTAAGTGTTATTTAGCTGCAGCAGAAAAAAACAGGTCTTCTGCAATACCAGGCAGGGCTGTGCTGTGTGGTAGAGCTGTGTAAATCTCAGGAATCAATGGACCCAAATACAAATCATTTGGCAGGTAAAACAGCCCCTTGTGTGTGTATTTCATCTGTGTATTCAGCTGTTTGCATGGAGTTCACCTTGAAGAAAGGACAGTTTTGTCTGATGTTGAGAGGTTTCCTGTTTCTCTTTCTCTATTATCTTATTACTTCCACATATATTACCTTTAAAGAGTAGTGTAAATCTGATTCTGAAGATATGAGTGCACATTGAAGAGAGAAGGGAAGGCTCAGTGTGTCACATGTATGTAACTTTCACACGTCCTTTAGGCAATCCATAAGCGTGATGCTCTCCTGCGTCAGTCAGAGGCCGATCTTCTTCAAGCTCGCAGCAATCTGAAATCCCTAAATCAGGAGATCGAACGTCACCTGGAGTCCGCCCGGGGAATGGAGAGAAGATTGCAGAGTACGCAGCGGGATTGTGAGCAGAGAGACAGGGAGAATAGTGCCCTGAGGACAGAAATACAGGAGCTGAAGAAGGAGCTGCAAGAGACCTACAAACACCACCAGGAAGCAGGTAAGTGCTCACCAGGAGAACAGATATTAACAGCTGCCCCCTGATGACTGATGATCTGGTGGGGGAATATTTAAAGAGAACTATGGGGTAACCTTTTTTATCCCATAGTTCTCTTTAGGATCGCTGGAGGACATATACTAACCTCCTCCCGTGACCAAAAACTCAGTATATAGCCGGCTATTGCCCGCTATATGCTTAGAGCGCTGCAGCTGGGACGGATCCCGACAATACTGTCGAGATCCACCCAGCTGGCTGATTGACTATCTAGACGCAGAGCCAGCTGTGCCGGCCCCCTTCCCTTTCCATTCCTCTAGTCAGCGCTGGAGGATCGGAGAGTGGGGGGGATCCCTGCGGTGACTGGCAGTCACCGCTCTCTGCAGGAAGATGATGGAGAAGTGAGCGAGCGATGGTATGTTTTTGCTCACTTCCCGATCTATAGAGTCGATGTGTGACAGTTTCAATGTCACACGTCGGCTCTAACTATGAGGATGAGTGTAAATCACTCACCTCATATTTCTCCTTTTAAGTAGCAACAGGAGCATAGGAGAAGGCATAGATCCACAGATAAAAATGAAGCAGGAAGTTCCCTGCACTGCAGGTTCTCCGGTACAGACTTCTCTCCAGCAAGGAGAACAGTGAGCAGCATGGTAATGACAAAAACTACTTTTTTCCACAACTAGATGATGAGCAGCATCATTCATTCCACTTCCAGGCTGTTATAGACCTGCCCCATGGGGGGGAATTCATCGTGCTGCCCTGGGCTGAAGGACACTCGCACATCATTACATGAGTATGAATTTCTGTGCTGCAGTAAGCATTGCCCACCGCTGCAGGGAAGAAGGAAGGACCTGTGACGTCACCAGGCTGGCTAGAACACCTATGCACTTAATATTTTCCACTGGATTCCCATACCTTGTTATGATTTATTGAGACCCAACTTATATGGGCCCTAGTGTGCGTGAGTATGGAAGGGACACTTTAGACTCCGGGCCCCTTTGGAGTGCAGGAACTGATGCGAATGGTGCTATGTACTCTATAAAACACTTTGTGATCAATTGGTTGCCTAAATGAATATGTTAAATAAATAACTCTGCATTCTACTGTGACCAGTGCAGACGCTGGCAGGGCAGGAGGAGAAGACCCTTCTGGTGGAGAGCGCCCTTCAGAGCACACAGGAGCAGCTGAGCGAGCGCGTAGCTGAGGTGGTGAGACAGGAGCAACATGTACGCAAGATAGAAAGTGAGATGCGTTCACTGAGGGAGCGGGTGATTGCCAGTGATGAGGAGCTGGAGCAGTGCAGGTATTGTACTTGTCTGTCACCTCCTGTCATCCACACTGCGTTCCTTCTCCAGCTAACATTCTCCGGGTGTGTGTGTGAATAGGACACTGGTGGAACGGCTGAAACTGGAGCTGAACGAGGCGAAAAAGAGGCATCAGACATCATCACAGGAAGGCCTGAAACTGCAACATTTACTGAGCAAACTACAGCTGGAGCAGACCGGTGACCAGGAGCAGCGCATAGCTCTGCAGCAGCAGGTACCACATTGGCAATGGTGATCAACTTAGTAAATATAGGGGGCCCCAGCTGCTGTCTCCAATAGGGCCACAGAGTAGTTTAGTTTTTATAAATGTGTGTTGCTTAACACATAGTAAAATGTATCTCTTACCATACGGTACTGTAACACATGGTAATCTGCGCACCACTGTGCATGTGTTTCAGTGCCATTCATTTTGAATGACACCCCAACTTGCTATTACAGTAGTGGATAATGCATCCGCACTCCAGTGCACCACATGCTGTGCATTGCCGAGTGCTGCATTACCTGCATTTATTTAAATGAAGGTTTAACTACAGTCATCCTTTGCGTCAAATGTCTGGGTAACCTAAAGATCCTTACAGAGGACTCTTGTGAGATCTTATCTTTCATGGTGGCAATGGAACACATTTGCTTTTAGGCCTTCCTCAGTTCCTGATCACCAAGCTTGTTTTGGGGAAGAGTTACTTGGCTGGGATGGAAGTTTCAAACCAGTTGCTGTTGGGGTTTTTTCCCCGCGACAGGTAGTTGCCTGCACCATTTTACTCTTAACCAGTAGAGAGGCTGGCATGGGGCAAGGGGGTGCAAAGCTCCAACATTGGAGCTGGCCATTAGGTAAATGCTCCCAGGACAGTAAGGCCTCATTAACACTAGAATCGGCCGGCACGTACAGCACCAAGCTGCGTGCACGGCCGTATCGGGCAGCTCCCGGGAAGGACATGTGCTGCGTGTGATTAGTACGCAGCCCCCGTCCTTCTCTATGGGAGTACACTGCCATACGCCGCCCTATGCTTACCTCAAGTGCAGGTCCGTATGGGCGCTGGTGTCCCGGCTCGGGCTCAGACAAGATCCATCCTGTCAGCGTACGAGTACAGACACTCGCACCCGGACGTGCAAGTCGGGTGAGCATAGGGCGGCGTACGGCCACGTACTCCCATAGAGAAGGACAGGGGCTGCGTACTAATCACATGCAGCACCTGTCCTTCCCGGGAGCTGCCCGATACGGCCGTGCACGCAGCACGGAGCTGTAGGTGCCAGCCCTTTCTCATGTGAATGAGGCCTAAAGGATATGTAAAGTTATGTGAATGTACATTTAGCTGCCTACATTAAACTCATCCAGCAATGACAGAGATCACATGCAGGCTGGAGACTTTAATAACAAAGGTGGCAGTGTTAATCTGTTTAATATTGTAAATGTCAAATACAGTATTAAAAAATAATAAAAAAATAAATAAGAGCAGGGTTTTATTAGCACAGCATAGCAAATAAAAGCCTTACACTGTATATGTTCTTTAAAATACTGTATATAAATGATATATAAAATGATTTAGGTATGCAAAAAGTCATAGAGCTATTAAGTTAACCCTTTCGCTGCCAAGGACGTACGTCGTACGGAGCTACAAAAGTGCTTCCAGCTGGCCAGCTCAGTACGTCGTACGGACCTGGCATTTACAGTTCTACTATAAGCTGATGGTCGCTTTAGCGACCATCAGCTTATATGTTCATATCTTTTAGATTTAGTCAGAAAATTATTTTTTTTGTGCACGGATACTGATTTTGGTGTGTTTTAACAATTGAATTGTGTATTTTTATCGGTTTAATATTAATTTGAGAAACATTTGCGCAATTATCGCAGGGCCTACAAATTTAGTATCACCATCTTTTTATTCTACCGGGCCTGCGCTTTCAGAAAATATATGGTTTGGGGGGTCTTTTACAAACGCTAGCAACGCAGCAGTTGAAAATCAAACCAATAGGAAAAAATTGCAGAAAATTCGAAAATGGCTTGGCCAGCTGATTTGAAAAATGTTCCGGAGGGCTTGGCAGCGAAAGGGTTAAAGGATGCATGCTGACGCATCTAGGCAATCAAGACCTCTGGTCACTAGAGGATTAAACATGAGCTTCAGGGTTACAGCCTTCTTAAGCCTTGATGATGATATTTATATAAGTAATATAGTGCTGTGATAGGGCCACTCACTGCACATAGTGACACCGGTGTCCTTCAGCTGCAGGAACAAAACACAGTTCAGCAGTCTCTCAGAACAGAGCTGGAGGAGCAGCAGAGCCGACATGAGGAGCTCCAAAGACAGCATCACAAAGCCAAGGAGCGAGAGAATACTCTGCAGAGAGAGCTGGAGGAGCTGAGCCTGAGGGTGAAGCACTCGGACCGCCTGGTGAGTGACCCCACTATGAAAACAGTGATGACTTTATAACAGCATGGGGGCACTGAAGTCCTGATGTTGTATGTGTTCTTACAGCTGGCAGAAAGGGACCGGGCACTACAAAACTTGCAAAGCAGCTACACACAGTTGGAGAGGAGATGGCAGTCTGCTCAGGAAGAAGCCAGAGACAGCACTGCTCAGCTAGAACTGACCAAGAATGCCTTGCAACAAGCGCAGAGGAAGATCCAGACCCAGAACAAGGAGGTGAGTACATGTAGACCGATTCAAGTCAGCCCAGGCCCCTGAAGGAGCTCACAGTCTGATGATCATACAATAGTCATTCATTAAGACATACTTTACAATTGAGATCAAGTGGACCCTATGGACACTATTTTGAGCATTTGGACCACTTTGCATCGTTTGTGTGTGCGTGCGTGTTTATATATAGGGTTCAATGTTGAGTTGGCTCCGCCCTTTGCAGCTATAACAGCTTCAACTCTTCTGGGAAGGCGTCCACAAGGTTTAGGAGTGTGTCTATGGGAATGTTGGACCATTTGTGAGGTCAGGTACTGATGTTGGAGGAGAAGGCCGGGCTCGCAGTCTCCGCTCTAATTCATCCCAAAGGTGTTCTAATGTGGCCATGGAGGTGATTGGACACCTGAATCAAATGATTTGGAGGGGTGTCCCAATACTTTTGGTAAGTGTATGTGTGTGGCCAGATTATTATGACCACCCCATCAGTACTTCGTTGGGCTGCCTCGTGACTCCACGAGATGTTGAAAGGTGATGCGAGGAATCTGACACGGCACTGTTGCCCTTCTCTTGACAGTTTTAACTCTTCCTCTGCTGCAGCTATTGAAGAGTGCCTGTTCTCTGCAATAGTTATCCCCACAAATATATTCTGCCCTAACATTGACTAGTCGCTGACGGCCACAATTCGCACATTCAGACCCAGATTTTCGGCTGACAGTCCAGTCTTTAAACACTTTAACAACAGCTGCTCTTGAACATTTAACGAATTCTGCTGTTTTGCTGATACTCGCGCCATGGCTCCGAGCGCCAACAATCATCCCACGTTCAAAGGCTGTTAAATCGCATTTTTCCCCGTATCTTCAGAAACAAATCACTTCTACTGTCGTGGTAAACAACCTGCTTCGCTATTTATAATGGTCTGGCCCTCTAGCAACTTCAGCGCCAAATTATAGCTCATATTTCAGCTATAGACACATTCTTTACTAATCATCTGATATCTACCTGCTACCAGCTATTTCTTATACCAACTGCAGCAACTCCAATTCTTGTGCTCTCCTCTCTGATCATTCTAACAGCATTACTTCTCCCTGCAGTCAAAGCGCCTTGAGGAGTCCCTGATACGGCTGCAGACGGAGGAGGAGGCAGCGCAAAAAACAGCAAGGGGGAAAAGCCAGGAGTTGAACACTACGCAAGAGTGTCTGCAAGAGCTGAAAAACCAAGTGTCTGCTGCACAGGCTGCCCAGCGGGAGGTTAGAGAACAGGTAACATATAATGCTCGGACTATAATGGCTTATTGTTTTATGTCTAAATATCAAAGTGGATCAATTTCAAAAAGGTGTAATAGTGTTGTGTAACAGGGCTGGCCTGGGTCACACCAGTTACAGGGATCACAGACTTGGAGTCATCTCTGATCTTAAATGAACAAATATCTGTCCTTTCCCTCACAGTCCTACTGCACCAGAAGAGGTTCCATGGTTGGTGTGCTTACCAGTGCTTTCCTGCGCTTAGGTTTGTTTCATAAGGGACCGGCTCCGTCGATCTAAGCAGCTGTTCAGGCCTCAGATACTTTTTTTTTTTTGTTAAAGGAGAACTATGGGGTCAGTGTTTTCCCCCATAGTTCTCCTTAGGGTAACGGGAGGACACAAACTAGCGTCCTCCCGTTACCCTTAGCTCAGTATACCGCGAGCTACAGTTTGCGGTATACTGAGACGCCGCAGCCGAAGCGGATCACGACTTAGATGTCCGGATCCGCCCAGCTGCTTGACTGACAGCTGGCTCTGTCTATCTAGAGGCAGAGCCAGCTGTACCCGCCCCCTCCCCGTCCGTTCCGCCAGTCAGCGCTGGCAGATCGGAGCGGGGAGAGGGGAATCCAGCCCCTCCCCCTGTCATGGCAGAGAGCCGTGACAGGATCGAGAGGCGAGCGAACCTGGTATGTGTTCGCTCACCTCCCGATCTACTGAGCCGACCTGTGACAGTCTCATTGTCACAGGTCGGCTAGAACTATGAGGTGAGTGAAAAGCACTCACCTCATAGTTCTCCTTTTAATGCTGCAGAGTAGGATAGCAATATATAAAATAGGTCATTGTATCTTTAAGGCTGAATTCTGGGCACGCATCAAAACACCACCAATTAATCTAGATGCGTATTCATTAAAATTGATTACATGTATGTAAATGTGACCTGTGTAGTTGCATCAATCTGTTCTAGAATCTCTCATATAGCTGGCCATACACCTTACAACAAAACAAAAGTCTTGCGATGGTTGTAAGGTAATTAAAAAAACGTACGATCTGCCCATCTTGGACAGGCAGATCGTACTTGTGATCATCGCATACCCGCCCCGCTGAGGGGAGGACTTCCGATGACTGCAATGCTGAGCGGGCAGTGTGCGCTTGCGGCATTTGTCTTCCGGCCACGCCAGCAACCTGCCGAAAATCGTACGATTTTCGGCAGGTTTTCCAGCGTGCTAGGAAGACGAAAGTCATGTGAACATACAGTAGCAGAGGTCGCACGCTGCCCATACACCTGCCGATTATCGTACGATCGCGGGATCACCCGCGATTAACGTACGATAATCGACAGGTGTATGGGCACCTTATCTCTCTCATATAATCTCCTGTACAGTAGAACTGGGAGAGGGAGGGGGTATTAGGAGTTTATCAGGTGTCAGTCTGGGAGAGGGAGGGGGTATTAGGAGTTTATCAGGTGTCAGTCTGGGAGAGGAAGGGGGTATTAGGAGTTTATCAGGTGTCAGTCTGGGAGAGGGAGGGGGTATTAGGAGTTTATCAGGTGTCAGTCTGGATTAGGAGTTTATCAGGAGTCAGTATGGGAGGTGAAGGGGGTATTAGGAGTTTATCAGGTGTCAGTCTGGGAGAGGGAGGGGGTATTAGGAGTTTATCAGGTGTCAGTCTGGGAGAGGGAGGGGGAGTATTAGGAGCCAATTAAATGAGCTGCATGCAGATACAGTATAGTGACAAAGAACACGCTGACAGGAGGAGAGACACGGGAACGTGCTCATCAGTCTGCTACTCTCCTTCACTGTCTATTCACAGGCTGAGGGCAGGAAGTTGACCAGGCTCTACTTCTTTAACTGCAGTAGAGAAAAGACAGGTCACCTGTCTGGAAAAGCTTTGTAAATCTTAGGACTGGAAATACAGAGATACAAATCATTTGGCTGGTGTACTTACTCCCATCTAATCATTTCTACTGCGTATTTAGCTATTTGCCTGGAATTATTATTATTCAGGATTTATATAGCGCCAACAGTTTGCGCAGCGCTTTACAATATAGGGCAGACATTACAATCACAATACAATTCAAGACAAGATGGTAAGGAGGGCCCTGCCCCTGAGGGCTTGCAATCTAGAAGGGAGGGGCCAGTGATACATGAGGAGGTAGCTGTGTGGGGATGATGGTAAGGAGGGCCCTGCCCGTGAGGCAGGGGCAAGTGATACATGAGGAGGGTGCTGTGTAGGAATGAATGGTATGAGAACGTGATAGTTCAGTGGTTAGGTTGAGGTGGGATAGGCTTCCCGGAATTAGTTTTGTCATGGGCTTTATGGTCGCTTCAGCATATTGTTGCCCATCCTCTTCGCTGTAGAGTCATATTCATGATTGTAAAATGCTCCACTGTAACCGATGGAATAAAGTAAGAATACGACCACCGTATGATGTCATCATGGAAATGGTTTTTCTTGCAGCTTAGTGACAAGAACAGAGAACTGGCTGCTTTGCAGAACGAGCTTCAGCGGAGCCAACACAGGAAGGCCGAGCTGGAGCGGGAGTGTATGGCTCAGGAAGAGCGAATCAGGAGGCTGAGCACAGAGATGAGCGCCGTACATGAGCTTCACAAGCAGAAGGAGCAAGAGGTAAACTGTATGATAGAAAGAGCATTTGTTGGAGTGAGCATCGGCCTTTCCAGTGTGGTATAACTGTGCAGTCATAATTACTACCCCCAACATTTCCTTTGTATAGGTTACAGCTGTTGTGCTGCGGTTTTGTCTGTTCCCTATCCTCTGAGCTATGGGATCAGTGTGTCTTCCTCTGTCTCCACCTTCTTCTCAATGTCCTCTGGGTGGCATCTCCTATTTAACACTTTCTTTCCTGCTGAGAGGTTGTTGGTTTCTTTTGAGCAGCTGCTCGACATCTTGGTTTCTTGATCTTGTCCTAGTTGTGGTTTTGGCTTTGTTGCCCTCTTATCCTTTCTATGTGTCCTTCTCGTCTTGGTTCCGCCATGTACTATTAATGTCTAGCCCTGTGCCGCCTTTGTCCTGCCTTCCACCTCCTGTGTTTCTGCTGTTCTTTGTGCGTCAAACTTGTTCCCTCAATGGCTCTCGTTGCATGGTTTGCTCAGTGCAGGGGAGGTCTAGTGACGTCCACGTACACCCGGGTATAACTGGATGGAAAGGCAGCTGCTATAGCCACAAACACACACCAAGAGCACAGCTTCCATCCTGGGCATGGGGGCAGATGAAAGACCAGGCTCTGTTCCTTCTTGACTCCAGCCAAACTCCTGCCCTCCAGCTGTGGTGAAACTACAAATCCCACGATGCATCTCTCTCCAGGAGTCATGTCTGTGGCTGTGAGAAGCTTGCAATGCCTCATAGGATTTGTAGTTCCACCACAGCTGGAGGGCCTGGAGTTTGGCTACCCCTCTCTTGACTCTATTAGCCTGTCTCAACCTGACATTGTGTTTCTGAGATTGTCTCTGGTTCCTCCACCATGCTTGTGTCATGAGGTTCTCTTGGGAGTTTCCTAAATCTCCAGACTGTATGATCCATCCTAATCTGGAAGGGTACAAAACATCTATTGCCAATGGTACCTTAAAAACAGCTAGGGCAGTGGTTCTCAACCTGTATAACCTCAGGACCCACATTTGTCCTTGGTCATTAAGTTGCCACCCAAGTCCCACTGCACTGGTACCCCCCGGCATTGCAGTACCCCATGTTCTGGTGCAAGCAATGAAACTGTGGGTGGGAGATGTGTTTGGGGTTCCATTCAAATGAATGGCAATGCACCTCCTGCACCAGAACAAACAGTAGGTGCGATTGCATGGTAGTGTGCGATTAAAACACTGACAGACACACACACAACCACATACACAATCTTATACACTCACAGACATTCTCACACATACACATTCCCCCCAAAATTTGAGGGGTCCAGTGTAAGCTGCTGTGCTGTGACGGAGCTCCATCCATACTTGCATTGCTTGTACAGTTCTCTTACACACTCCCTGTAGAGGTGCTGGGCGCCAGAGTGTGACTTCACACGAGGAGCTGAATGGATGGGGCTCCCTCGCGGCCATACCCCCAGCCCACCCCACCTCAAGCTGACACTCCGGGCCAGGCAGCATATTCTGAATGGCTGCTCGCTACGAGAACTGCTAGTGCTGCACTATGGGGAGGCAGAGGAGCCCCTCACCTAGTGCAGTGAAAGGCATGCGGCGACCAACTGAATATGGGGTCGCCATCCACCCACTTTTGGGTCACAACATAGCTTTTTAGAATATCACTACAGCAAACAAATTGTATGTATGGGTCTGAACTGTCAATGTAGGAGATGCATTGTTTTTGTTTGACCTTATTGAGCACTTGTATTCTTGGACCATATTACCACACTTGTTACCATTAGTAACTCAGTCACCGTCCCCATGTTATTATAGGCAGAGGCATGTGAGGGCCGGGCACGAGAGCTGAATAACCAGCTGAAGCACTGGCAGAGGTTACACCAGGAGCATACACACAAGCTCAGACAAAGAGAAGATGATGTGAAGCAGCTCCAGGAACAACTTACAGTCTTGATGGAGAAGCTGAAAACTGAAGGCAAAGAGGTAACAGTCAAGAACTACGCATCCCTTACCAGAGAACTATGGGGTAAGTGACTTTCCCAATAGTTCTCTTCAGGGTTACGGGAGGACATATACTAGCATCCTCCTGTTACCCAAAGCTCAATATATCCTTGCAGGGGGCCGTGACTGACAGTCACCACTCTCTGCAGGGAGATGATCGGGAAGTGAGCGAGCGACGCTATGTGTTCGCTCACTTCCCGATCTATTGAGCCGACGTGTGACAGTTTCATTGTCAAACGTCGCCTCTTACTATGAGGCTGAGTGATTTTCACTCGCCTCATAGTTCTCCTTTAAAGCTGAACACTCCAGGCAAACAGCATTGATTAAATACAAATATGGTAGCTGGTTTACCTGTCAAAGGATTCATATTTCTGGCCATCCAGTCCTGAGATTTGCACAGCCCTGTCTGCCAGGGCAGGGGACCTGTTAAAGTTATGTAACACTTACTGGTCTTGTGCCTCCCCCAGCCTGTGATTGAACAGTGAAAGAAAAAAGTAGCAGACTCTTGAGCTCATCTCTTTGTCACTTTGCTCTCTCCTCCTTTCAGCTTTCTCCTTGTTAGCAATACTGATTGACTCAGTGTGTTGGTCCTTCCTCTCCCAGTCTGAGTTCTGCTATACAAAGGATTGCAAGGGGCGTATAGTAAGTCAAACGTAGGTACTTACACGGCTTACATTAATAAATGCAGATCTGCTTTAGTTTGTGTCTTTTATATCTGGAGCTCAGCTTTAGGCCCCATTCACACTCCACGATATGCAAATCACGCGTTTGTCGCGCGATTTGCATTTTGCGCGATATCACGAGATTTGCTGCGCGATATCGCGCAAATGCTTGCATTGAAAGCATTTGAATCGCTGCAAAATCCGCTCCAAAAAGGGTCCTGCTGCAGCGACACACGACCCGCGACAGCAGGACCCTTTGCCCCATTGAGAAGCATTGGAGAGCGATATCGCGCTGTAATTTACCGCGATATCGCGGGAATTACCGCACGATAAATCGCTCAATGTGAACGGGGCCTGAAGGTAAGTCTCAGCTGTTGCAGGACCCAATGCCCTGGGAATGGGCTGAGGTTAGCCTTGTGCATCATGTTGTCCATCAGGAGTTGAGTCTGTTCCCATCACATGAGAACTTGCAGTCATGTGACTTTAGAAATGGCACGGGTTGTCCCTGGCCTGTTCTAGAAGAGTGCTTCCCCACTCCAGTCCTAAAGTTTTGCCAACTGGCCACTTTGTGAGGATTGTCCCTCTCCGATGACAGCTGGAATCAGTACTCATGCCGTGCTACACATTTAGGTCCATGTCCTACTGAGTTAAGCAATATTGCTCCAGCACATGATATGTCAATGCCCCATAACATTGTTATAGACCTGATTTCTTCTTTCCATAGAGGGATGATCGCCAGAACTCTATGAACCAGCTAAAGATGAAGTACAATGCCGCCACCAGTGAGGTATGTGCACACACGGCATTGCATAGACACGCAGTTCCAGGCATCCTTGAAATGATTCCGAGTAATGTTTTCTGCACTTGTTTTAGCTGGAGACTCTGCGCAACTCTCTGGAAGCATCGCGGGAAGATTGTCGGCGGCTGCATCGCGAAAGTGAACTGGTCGTCTCGAATGTCAATGAATGGGTCGGCGAACAGAAGTAAGTGCCACAACTGGACCCAGGCTGCCCATCATTTACATGGTGTCTGGTAGGCAGAGGAAATACATTGGGCCTTATTTATGAAAATGTCCGGCACCTATAACAACCATTCACCTTTTAAAACCCAACCCTCTCCCTCCTGCTCCCCACATTCCCCTTTAGAGCAACCTCACACTTTTTTTTAAATCTTCATACATATCATTTTCCAGGTGTCTTCTGTCTGGTTGCATGATGTCAGGGTCCTGTTCTTCCTTCCTGGGCAGTGGTCAGGTCCTGAATGCTGCAGAGAACATCGCCCATGTAATGGCACGGCACCGCTCTCTGCAGTATTCTCCATTGAGTCCAGGGGTCCTGTTCTTCCTTCCTGGGCAGTGGTCAGGTCCTGAATGCTGCAGAGAACATCGCCCAAGTAATGGCACGGCACCGCTCTCTGCAGTATTCGCCATTGAGTCCAGGGGTCCTGACGTCACCCCCTAGGTCTTTGATGTCCTGGGCTTATCAGAAGTGGGTTGAATGAGACTGGCTGTTCAGCCCGTAAGAGGGCCAGCAGTGAGTCTGTGGAGGACAGTGCCAGAGGCCAGTAGTGCAGCAAAAGCTCGTTTTTAATTTTAGCATTCCCTAACCTGTTTCTTATGTTCTAAGGACGCTGGAGTGAAGCTTTAAACTACACAAAATGAATCCGTGGTATCTGGTTGCTTTGGCAGTACAGATATGTCTGATCTCATCCTGTTTCTGTACCAACCTGGTTCACCCTGTATGTGAAGTTACTAAATGTTCAAGTGTAAGGAACTACAAATCCCAGCTGACTGACCTCCTGGCTTCAGTACTTTAAGTCACTGACCTGGAACAAGCATGCTTATCAGTAAAGTCAGAACATCCTTGTCCTGGGTTGGCGTCTCAGACTGTTAAAGCATAAGGCTCAGCATGACGGCTAGCCATTGCAGAATGAGAAGTTAGGAATCCCAGCCTCCGTGTTTTTCTCAGATGAGGTTTGGCTGGAATTTGCAGAGAGAAGTCTCTGAGATCTGCCGGCATCAGCATGCACACTGTTTATATTCTCTCACATCTACTATTGCAATTTGTCTCTGTTACAGGGAAGCCAACAAGTCTCTGGGGGAGAAGATCTGGGAGCAGAATAAGCAGATCCAGCAACTGTCTACAGAAAAAGAGTGAGTGCCAGACCGAACCGTCCCATCTGAGCCTGCACAGATCACACTTTACATATGTGAGGATATATTTAGAACGTGGTTAGACGGGTACTTCTGCTCCATTCCTTCCAGCCGGATGGGTTTATGTTTCAAGAAAAGGCAGAAAAGAATTTGCAGATTGAAAGCATTTTATCAACTGTAAAACATGGTGGGGAATCCACAATGGGGATTTGGTTATTTTGGATGCAGGTCACACATCATTGCTTGCCCTTAGGGCATAGTCCTGGTGGCTTTGTCCCCATTCAAGTATAGATTTCATGAAGCTTGGCGTTACATACTACATGAGGTGTGTATGAGGGCAGAAGCTGTTTTGCATGCAAAGGATGTCTTTAGTCATTAATATTAGGGATGCACCGATGCTAGTATCAGTGCCGATGCAGAGTAATTGGGCGAGTACTCACACTCGCCCAAATGCTCCGATGCTTAGCCCGATACTTTCGGTATTAGGACGCCGGGCAGCGAGCCATTACATGCTGCCCAGCTTCCTGGTTGGTCCCACAATCTTTCTGATTTTCCAGGAAGCCGGCTTCATCCTCCCTCGTCGCCTCATGAGGAGGGAGCACGGCGCCCGGCTTCCTGTTTGGCCAGAATGCCGGCTCCATGCTTTCTCGCATGGGGATGGCTTCCTGCTAATTGGGAAGCCGGGTACTCTGTATCGGCGAGTACCAAAAAAAAATATCGGTACCCGTAGTCGATCCCGAAATACTGGTACATCCCTAATTAATATATTGTTGGGTGTTTCTGTTATTTCGTCCGCTCCCTGTATATGCCTAATTGGGATATGTGCTGAATGAAAGACCTTTGCGATTCCCTGCACATAGTTCCAACTAATGTTTTTCTGCTTTAGGCGCATTGCTCTGGTTGGGGGGGGGGGTGTTGGATGTCCCTTCCTCAAAGTAGTTATTCTGACAAATCCTTTCAGATTGCTGTGTTGGCTAGTAAATGAAAGCAGTGATCTTTTTTTAGTTCTCGTTCCTGCTCCCTATCATTCATAATCCCATTTCCTGCAAACAATAATGTATAAGTAATCATTGCCGTAGCACGTAGTTGATTGGCTGAGCCTTACTCTTTAATGTGTGTTTACTGCCCAGCCATATGCATGAGGTGATCGAACAGCTGCAGCGAGAGAACAGACATCTGAGGAACATAGAAGATGAGAGGCGCATAGATCAGGAGCGCTACAAGGTGAGATGTGGGACAGGGTGACGGACGGACGGAGGGATTACATGACGTTGCACCAAGTACTCACCGTTCTTTTCTGTGTTCTTTCAGCTGTCACTGCGCCAGTCAGACTTGGAACTTCATCAACCCTCTGAGGAACTCGGGTGAGTACAAGATCCTCTCCTGCCCTTTCTATGCCTCTATAGTGGGGCCAATCACTGACCTATAATCTCTGCAGGTCTCTGCGTTCTGCTAGAAGAGTGTTCACCAGCGCTGGAAACCTCAGAACAAAGCCACGCGGAGGCTCATGATGCCAAGGTGCCACGCCTTCTACTTCCTAAATGCCAGTCACTACAGAGAGAGAGAGCACAATGACACTGAATGTATAGAAGCTGCTTTTACCTTTTTACTTAATGGAACACAGGTGCTGGGGCCACAAGGACCCCAAAACTATCTGCTTCATAATAGGAACTAAGAGAATCTCTATAAACCTGGGGACCCTAAAACGTATTAGGGATGGAATGACCTGGATGGTGCTTTAAACTGATAGGAGAGGAGACATCTTGTACAGACTTGCAGGCAGGTATCGTCCGTATTGGGGGGGGGGCCAGGCTGCAATATGTATTAGAATGTGAAATGCTGACACCTGATGAGTCACTATGAGCAGCATCCACCCCATCCCTTTCTTTGTACCACTTTGTGCAATACATGAGTCACAGATATTAAAGAGAACCTGTCACTAGAAAACTAGCTTGTACAGAACACGGCCCCTACTGCACTGTGTACATTCAGTCATGTAGCAACGCTGAGCTCCGTGTAAGCTGGGACCATACTACCAAGGCATGGACAGGAGTCAGACTGGTTCTTTTGGGGATGTACATAACTTAGTAACTGGAACCTGTCATCTCTGCATACAGGAGGCAGCTATCAGCTGAACCAATATCTGGTCCAGTGTCACTAGTTCCTATACCGCAGAAGTGGTGTTTTTTTTATATCACACTGGATCATGTGAAAGTGGCAATGCTATTTCCTACGTCAAGTGAACCTGTCCTGGTTTAAGGTAACATCGGTGCTAAATTCAGGCACATGTGGCACCTGCAAGTATCTGTGTTATTCCCCAAGTCCCCGTGCCCCTGTGTAGCCCATTGGATCTTACACATGAGTGTATGTATAAAGTCACTCGCACTCCAATAGAATTTCAAGTCAAAAACGCTTTATTGACTCGATTGCTATCACATCATTTAGCGACGTTTCGGAAAAACAGCCGTTCCTTCTTCAGGCAAACAGAATTCTGGAGAAGGAACCGCTGTTGTTCCAAAACGTCGCTATATGATGTGATAGCATTCGAGTCAATAAAGCGTTTCTGACTTGACATGTTGGAGTGCGAGTGACTTTATACATACACTCATCATGGATTGCAGAGGCATCTGCAGTCACTTTGGCAGCCACCTGACTCTGAGCCCTCGTTCACACCTGAACGTTTTGTAGCGCGTTCTACGCTCGGCGAACGCTCAAAAATATAAATCCCATTGTATTCAATGGTCTCGTTCCCACCTTGGCGTATTTCCGCCCGTCCCTAACGCGCTACAAAACGGCCCACGCCTGAAAAGGTACAGGCACTACTTTGGCCCGTTTTGTTGCGCGTTTCCATTGGGATACAGCCAAGTAGCCTTCGGAAACGCGCAACTTTTTTACCGCGAATCGCGGTAAAAAAACGCCTAGGTGTGAACGAGAAAAATGCAATATGCCTAGGTGTGAACGAGACCTAAGGGTATTTATTCGGTCAGGATTGCGATGGGTACACTGGATTTTGCCCATTGGATCATAGACCCAGGCTCCATACAGGGCCTTAACCTTTCTACAAATATAGACTAAGCCTCACCCCCTTGCCAGTTGGCCATCAAAGGTCAAACCCACAGTGATCAAGAGAGGCTCTGCTGTGTGAGCTGAAGGTTTGGGTAGGGCTTAGTATCAGAAAGGGCCAGGGTTTAATCTCTACTTGGATAGATGTTTAGGCCTAGGATTGAAAGGGCTGAACCAGGACACAGGGATCAATTTAGACTCTGTTCAGGTTCACCTTACATTCGATTTTATGGGATGTGGCCGGTTTCCATTTTCAGGAATAAAGTGAAAACCTCGGGTATCATTATGCCCAGCTGCCAATCATTGTGAATCCACCAGTTTGGTACCCCAGCCTATCGGCGTGTGGAGCTTCTCAGCTTTCTTTGGTGCATATCACCATGTGGGTTTATTGGGCTGGCCTGCAGATCTCACAACAAACATCGATATTCCTAAAGCAGAAGTGCAGGATCGAAAGACTTCCTTTCTAAAGCTGCATGTTGCTGAGCTGTCATCCTAAGTACAGCCTTACTACTTGGTGTGTAAACTGATCTGGAACAAGTATACGGTAAGTGAAGTCTAAACCTCTGTTCGGTATGCATGTTCCAGAGCTGTGACTTACCAGGTAGTGAAGCCAGCATTAGATTAGCCCTATAGACTGCACCTTGAAAAACCAAGTCAGCAGTGGTTGCTGCCATACTGCTATCCTTACTTGTACCTATACTTGTGCCTATATACTGCTCCTTCAACCCGCGGGCTGAACAAAAAAATAAAGCGGATTACTCCATCAACACTACGAGTGCGTCAATCGAGGAATCCTGGCTGTTTGCATTGTATTCGGAAAGGTAGCCGCCAGCTGCTGTCAGAATACCCCCAACAGAATCGGCAGCTCATTGGCTGCCCGCTCTGTTCGTACGAAGATTTTCCACCCGGCTCCTTTAACCTCTTGCCGTCCGCCCGTAGTAAAAAAACGGACGGACGGCACTGCAGCATCTGCGGGTTGCCGTCAGGTCGAGGGTACCTCAAGAACTGAATGACATTTGCACAGTGTATGGCCACCCTATATCTCAATTCTGGCCAATGTAACCCCTTCTTGGCAGTAACGTCATTTACAACACATGGATCCTAAGAGGTTGCAGTGACCGCCAATATCAGTGAACGATGATGGGATTATTTTTTTTCTTCCACCACCAAATTCTCAGAAAACAGCATGTGAATCAAATTGACAGAAATCTCATACACACAAACAACTATTGGGGGAAGATGGACCCAAACACCCCCCATAAACACGATAGCATTATAATATAGCTTTCAATTGTTTGTTCTGTTTTAATATACAACACTGTGAATTTAAAGTGACACTAAACTCAGTTGTTAAATCTTTAGCAATACATTCAAGTACCTTAAAAATGTCTCTTACTTATGTATCACTCGGCTGTAGATCCTCCAATCATCTGACGCTGTCCTTCCTTCTGGAGGGGGGCTACTTTTGATCCCCAGGGTCCCTGCGTGTGTTGTAAAGTAGTCACCGCTCCAAGCTCACTCCTGTGATGGAGTACAATCTCATGTTTCGTTTACTCATTTGTATTGAGATTGTAGTCCATCACAGGAGTGAGCTTGGAGCGGTGACTACTTTACAACACACACAGGGACCCTGGGGAACAAAAGTAGCCCCCCTCCAGAAGGAAGGACAGCGTCACAATTCAGAGATGATTGGAGGATCTACAGCCGAGTGATACACAAATAAGATACATTGTTGTTCATAGTTCTGGTACCTGATACATTTTCAAGATTGGACTCTGGAGTTTAGTGTCACTTTAACTTGCCAATGCTCCCGGCACAATCAATCCTTGCACTGTGTTTTTATATTTATAAATCATTTTAATATATTTATATTGTTATTTTGTAATAAATTAATATTGGAATCGCAAGTCGTCTTTTGCTTTGTTCATTCTGCCTTCAGTCTCTGAGATCTATCAGCGCGCCTGTACAGGAATACATTACCGCGATTCGCGAAGGCTACTTGGCTGTATCCCAATGGAAAACGCCCTCCAAAACGGCCCAAAGAAGTACATGTACTTGTTTGGGCGTCAGCCGTTTTGTAGGGCGTTCAGACGGGCGGAAATACGGAAAGGTGTGAACCATACCCATAGGAAACAATGGGATTTTCATGGTTGTACGTTTTGTAGAGCGTTCATAGAGCGTTGAACGCCCGACAAAACGGAAAGGTGTGAACGGGGCCTAAGCTGTGCCCAAAAAAACAACAGACAAAGCCTAGTATTCCTGCAGATGATCTTTCCCTAATGTGTAAACGAATGGACAGGATTCTCAAATTATGCTACATTGTAAGCTCGAACTAGATTGATTTGGACAAACATGTAATATGATGCATCTCTTAGTCATACCAATACTGGTTTCAATACATTATGCTATGAGAACTGTAATTATTTATGAATAGTGTTTGGCACATATGACACATTTCCCATGTAGATTGCTGCAGTTTGTTGTTGATTGGTCACTATAGGTATTTTCAAACTACCAATTAGAATAGAGAAATTCTCCGCCAAGCTGGAGGTCCCCACTGGCGGTGGTCCGTGTGGTACAGGGACCGATGTATCGTCATGACATAACTTTAATCACCATTTTTCATACCTGGCATTTTTATTAATCGAACATTTTTATTTATTTTTAAAAAATTTTTGTCCTCCACATACAGAACATTCACCCATATAGAAATAATTTTTCACTTTCCATACACAGGTGGGGAGCCACCAATACAACTCAGCTACATTATGTACCTTACTTTTGAAAGAGCAAACATGTCACAGACCTACACAAGGGGCTTCCAATTGAAATATGTTGGTCTTTGTCTGGTTGATTATAATGAACCGGGGAACAACATATATATACCTTGAATCATACATCTGGAAGGGCAGCTCCCATAAGTTAGCTCCACCGGGTATCCCAGATACTCCTCCATGTATTGCCCCGGGGTCCAAGGAATGACGAGGGACTGGGAATGGTGGCTAGACTTTTCTGGCCACCATGGTGCATCGGTCCTCTCCGGGCACCTTGTGTGTTGGTGAAGTGCCAAGTGGTCACTTTCGATGGGGATGCTTTAGGAGCTATACACTGTGCAATGTTGTTATATGCCCTATGTGACCATACATTGAGAGAATAATTCTATGCAAGAAAATCTCTTTCTAATGCTAGATCAATATATACACTGATCCCCTGAAGAAGCCATTGGCGAAACACGTCGGGATGAATTACGCCAGACTATTATCTGGACACTAACGGAAGGATAGCTCCACTATCCTGACTGCATAAATCTACATGTATGGACTGTCAATGCTTTTACCTACTGGAGTCATTTTTAAATTATGCGGTTTGTGTATAATAAACTATTGATATATTTTATATATATACATGGTCTCTGCCTTGTTACCTCTCTAGAAACCCTCCATACCCTACTTTTGCTTGTTTGACTTTATTGAGGGGGAGAGGTGTGGGCAGGGGACCCTCGTTTGAGGCAATCCACCAGCTTTGCTTTGACT